GTTGGCTAAACTTTTTCTATTGATTTAAGGAAAGAAACATTTTCGTTACAACTCACAACATGCATGTTTGAATAAAATTCAAACGAGGTTAATGGGGCACAATATATAATATATATAGCTCAATCCACTCTACAAAGTACAAACTAAGTATCTGTTTGACCCTCATTTTTAATCTCACATTCTACCAATAAAATATTATACACTTGAATCCATAACATTTCCTACTTCTAACCACACAATCTCCAAAAAATAAAAAAATCATTATTCACAAAATCCGTTCTCAAAAATTTCTATCAAAATATGATTAGGAGAACCGTGAATACGTCGGATCATCCAAACTCAATAATGCTAGACGCTGTTAGGTTCGACTCATGTTCAACCTAACCCTAGTAACTATGAATCCGGACATCGTCGTTTAAAAAATTATATGGATCGAAAAATTTCTCACAAAAATATAACACAAAAAATAGATCTTTCTTCCTAGATAGAATTATTGTATTCAACAAGCTTCCATGGATTTATGGGTGAAAAATGAGAAGAAACAAAGAAGGGTCCCGCCCTAACAAGGTCAGAGAAATTCTGAAAACAAAAGCAAAAGAATCTGAACAAAGTAACTGAAAGAAGCAAAGCAAGAAAAAGTATACATACAAATGAATTCACTAACAAACAAAGCCTTAAAATTGTAACCAAAACAAGAATGATGCAACCTCTTTTCTATGTCAAACTTCATTCCCCCACGCAAACTAAGGGAAAAAGTAACTGCAGCAATCCTGTGGGTTTACTTTTTTTTTCAAATTTGAGAATAGAGAAAATTACTACTAATAGATTATGAATAAGTTTGAATTATGAATTAATAAAATGAATAGTAAATTATTAGTCATGAATAGTATAAAACACGTGGGTAAAAAAGTTGGTTCGATCCACTTAATCTACTATTCAAACAATCCCGAACATAGATCGATGCGTTAATGGTTGACGACTTAACGAAAATAATTCCAATCTACGATGTAAGAAAGACTCACAAAATGTATATATACCTTATATACCTATCTATGTAGAGAGGAAATCATGTATGTAACTAGGAAAAACCCAAATCGAAATGCATATATTTATCTGATAAAAAACTCTGGTACAGAATGTACAGATCTTATACGAAATTTGATCTCCTCGAAATGTGCAAATAAAAAGTGGTGTAACTGTTTATAAAGATAACTGAATATATGTCCTTTTTATAATTTATTTTTCTATCAAATTTATTTTTAATTATACATTTTATTATAGTCGAATCAACTTTTCAAAATAAAATTTATTTCTATTTAAACCAAGATATTAGAAGGGTAAAATAGTAAATAACGAATTTAAAATTAAAATAATCAAAAGAAAATAATATCACTTGTATTATTTACTGACAGGAGTAAGAAAACAGTACTCGTTTCCCGTTTCAATGTCCCGTTATGAGTTATAACTCATCATTCATTGCCAGCTCTTTCTCATTTATTATTATTTTTTTGACTATCTATCTCTTTCAAAATTTAACTTTTTTGATTATTTTTTTTAACTCTATTACTATTTCCAGTCCACGAATCTTATGTATTAATGTATTTGGAGGAATTTGTGATCCAATTGTTTCACCTGAAGCCCTTGTTTCGTAATCATTATTGTCAAATCACACATTTTTCAATAAATAATATTATACAAATATATAATATTTTCATATATTTTTAACCACACATTCTTTATCAAAATATTATTTCAAAATACATTTTGAAAAAAAATGGAATTCAAACAAGCTCTATTTCATGTTTGTTATAGTTAAATTAAAATTTAAGTGATTATAGATTATGGATCCTAAAATATATAGAGGTAATACGTAAGTATTACTTGTGATTTTTAAGGAAAAAAAATATATAAATTATGTTTGGCTAGAATTAGGGATGGAAGCGGTCCCCGTTTCAACCGGTTTGAGAAAAACTCAAACCTAAACCAAACCGTTTTTATCGGTTTGAAAAAAAACTCAAACATAAACCTAACGGTTTGGTCCGATTTTAAACCGTTGGTTTCGGGTATATTTTTTGCCTGTCTAGTGTCTACTTTTATGACATTAATTCAATATATATTTATATTTTACTGGCAATAAATCTAAAATAAACTAAATATATCTAGTATAAATTTAAATACCAACAAAATCACAATAAACTAATTCCAGAGACAATTTAGACTGTTTCCATGTTCAAGAATCAAGAACACACAGCTATGTAACTAAAATCACAAAAAAATAAAAAAAAAAATTACAGAACTAACCCACAGGTCACAAAAAATCACGCAGTCTTGTAACGAAATTGAAGGCTATCAGTTGTGATTGACCGTAGACTACCGGCGACCTTTGCTGGCAATTGAAAATTCTGACCTTAGACTACTGACTATTTGAGGAAAATTCAGGAGCGAGAGAAAGAAATAAAAGGTTAGGGATTAGGG